GCCTACATGTAAGAGCTTGGTAAGGGGGTTACTGCGGGGTGTACCATCTACCCCAACACAGGAGACATCAGTGTCAGACAGGAAGGAAGGGTCTGGCAGGTCTTGTTCCCTAAGGACACTACGGGCTGCACCTGTGTCAACTAAAAAAGTGGTTGGGTGACCCTCCACGGGGAGAACTACAGTAGCCAAAGGTCCTCCTCCATCCCCCGCAGACACAGGCTTGCCAGTTACCTATTGCAATAAATCTAGGTGGGCTTGATCTGGTCCCTGGTACCGGCGGGATGTGGAGGGAGGGTTAGCAGTATGCATGGGTGGGCGGGATGGACGGAGGGCATGGCGGGGATGAGGTTGGTTGTCCTGGAAGTCATCAGTATCATACCCTTCAGCGGAGGGCGAGGTGTATGCACGGGCTTCTGCTGCGGGGAGCCGGGCTTGGGAGTACTCAGGAGGCGGAGGGGGAGGAGGTGGAGGAGGTAGCTGGGGCAACTGTGGATGGGGTAGGGCAGGGAGATAACCAGTGGAGGGGAAGCTGTAGCTGGTGACATGGGGATTTTGGTACCGTGGAGTCTGCTGGCGGAACACTCTAGGGTGTGGGCAATCTCTTCTAAAGTGACCTGGCTGATTACAGTTAAAGCAGGTCCGGATTGTTGTGACAGACCGGTCACGGGTGAAGGGAATAGGCGCAGGCAGTGTCTGGGGGGACTGGGTGTACTGTTGGGGGAGCATCTGAGGTCCCTGGCTTGGACCTGCGAATGGGGCGGAGGTAGCATACATCAGAGGACTAGGCTACCAGCAAAAGAGTGTCCAGTGGAATTATTCTATACTCAGGCCGAGCTAAAATTAAACCCTTACGAATGTGTTCCCTAAGCCCTGCCACAAAAGCTGCAGATAGCATCTGGGTGTGTGCTTTGTTGTAAGTACTAAACCCTAAGTCTGAAAAAGTCTGAGTCAACCTAGAGTGATACTTCTCAACTGTCTCAAGTTTGTCCTGTAGGATATCATTAATGCAAGTAGCCTGATCTGCTAGTTTATCCTGTGCCCAGGCACGAAGCTGTTCACAAAAAATTTCACCAGAACGAAAGTCAGTATCAGAAGTAAGTGGAGCGTCATTAAAGCTCCGTTCCATGATTGGCCAGTATGCATCACCGGCTTTTATTTCACATAGACTAATAAGATCCCGCCAAGCAGCGGAGTATGTTTTACGGATCTGAGCCATCCGGCGGAAAAAGGGCATAGGGTGTTTTTCAGGATCAGGGAGTGAGGTCACAAGGGTAGCAGCTTGGGAAGGGTTAAAGGTAACATACATAGGCGGTGAACCATCCGCACCATGGTTGATCGGGGTGTAACCCTGAGGGATAGTGTGCTGTTGGGGGAGCCTATTCACCCCCACCTGGGGTGAATTCTGTTCAACCACAACAACCTCTTCGGGCAACACTGGGCCACGGCGGAGGGTAGTCTCAGGGGTAGCTGTAGCGGGGACAACAGGGAGGGCTGTGATAGGTGAGGTAGCTGGGTGGAAACCCGAGGCCTGGGGGGAGGCACCCATCGCATAGGGCTGGTCAGATGTCCCAGACACCTCGGATCCAACCACCATGATTGGGTAACTAGGACTGGCGGAAGGGACACGAGGGACCAAAGCTGTGGAAGGGGCTGTCACGGGGGCCGGTTGGGTTGGGCGTGAAAGGTGGGTGTTTAGGACATGTGCAAGGGCAGAGATTGGATCGGAGGGCTCGGGGACATCGGCAGGAGACAAGGGTGGGGTCGGAGGCTCGGGGGGAGGGGGAGGAGGAAGAGTAGGTACGTCAATGGGAGGCGGCACGGGGATCGCGGAATTAACTAGGGAAGTAACAGCAGTGAAGAGGGTGGATATTGAGCCAGACAGGTCATTGGTCATGGGTGCGTCAGGGGTCACGGTGGAAGGGGTCAGAGGGACGGGACCAAGGGGCTGTGACAAGGTCGGGGGGGCAGGGATGTCGAGAGGAGATAACAGGGGAAAAGAGGCCGGAGGGATGGCGACGGGGGGTTGGGTTAGGGCGGTGAGGGCGGAGATCAGGGACGGCAAATCAGCCGCGGGAGTAGGAGGCAACAAGGTAGAGAGGGCTGGGGCTTCAGGAGGAGGTAACGCTGGAGGAGGAGTTGGAGGATCCTTGAGGATGGGAGGGGTATCTGTGGATAAGGGGCCGGAGGCAAGGGAACCGGGACTAACGGGCTGGACAAGATTCATGAGAGCGGAGAGTAGGGACGGGGGATCCTTGGAAGATGAGGAGGAGGAGAGGAGATGAGAAGGAGTGGGGGACAATGGGGATACAGGGGTAGGGGTCACGGGGTTTCCTGAGGGTACCGGAGAAGGAGAGTCGACTGGGGGACAGGGGTCCGGGGAGACGGGGTCGGTTGGGTGGGTAGGAGCGGGGGGCGTAGGACGTAGGACGGACGGAGAGGGTGAAGGAGCGGGGATTACTAGGGAAGGGGTACTCAGAGTGGAGAGGGACTGAGAGGAGGAGGGGGGTGGAACTTCCATGGTCGAGGCGGGAATAGTCGGGGCAGTGCTCGGAGTAAGGACTGGCGCTGGGAAAGGTAACGGAGGGCATGGAGGTGGGGGGGCTCCGATGGACATGACAGGATGATGGTTGAAAGAGGGGGTTTGGTCGCAGGAGGGTTGGTGCATGGGAGTGGGTGGGAATGAGTGATGTGACACTGGGAAATAGTAAGCTCCATCTACACCGAGTACGGGACATAGGGGAGTGGGGGCTGAAGGCACACCCCCGGGGGGTGGGGTCTGTGCTGTGACGGGAGAAGCAGGGCGGGAATTTACTGTTGCGCTCTGGGCGCCATCATAGGGTGGTGGCCGTGGAACAATAGAAACAACATCATCATTGTGAACACTCCTATGGTAAACATGCACAATTTGCCCTTCAAATTCCAACTCTTCCTCGACCCATCCTTCCCGTTTCAAACCTCTAGCTACACGATACCAAGCCTCTGCAACCTTTGTCAGTCCGTTATCCAATAATAAACCTTCCTTATCTATGAGTAGCTTTCTCCAAAACTCCGGCTGTAATCTCCCACTGGGTAACATCTGAAAGCCACACACCTTAGCAATCTTTTTAAGTTTCATCATAGCATCTTCCCCTGCCCTTTCTTTCACAATGTCACAAGCCAATAAGCTCTTAGCAGGTCTAGCATGTTCCTGCCCCATCTTGACTAAACTAAGCGTGCCACTCGTTAAAGACAGATGAATAGAGGAGGTATAAGAAAGGAGGGGAGAAGGAGTGTCTACAGTGCTCGACTGCCACGAGAACTTGAGCCCCGTGCGTCTTCCCCAAACGTAGACTAGTCACGGAGATCCGCCCACCCGGGGTGGTGGTCACGGACGGGAGCGAGTGAGCGTGGGTGACTAACACAGCTCTGGGCAACAGGCACAGGAGAGATAAAGCACAAAAGAAAAGATGAACGTGGCTGCGCTAATGAGAAGACATTTGCAAAAATCACAAACATATAAATGAGCATAGACTCCGGAGTCCAGAACTAACCACACAATACACACACACACACCAAGGGTACCCACGCTGTAACAACAATTAAACAAGAACCACAGAATGACAGAGAGTAAAATGGCCATGTACATGTTAATGACACCGGTGCCGAGTAATCGAAGTATAACAATCCTCAGCCTTCACCCACCAGGCTGGTCCCAGTATAACACAAGTATTAATGAGAGCACAGTAATAAACAAACAAAATCCCAGCCCCACCGGCTGTAATGCGTTCCCTGCCCGCTAGGCAGTCAAGCAAACTTAAAATCCCAGCCCCACCGGCTGTAAAATCCCAGCCCCACCGGCTGTAAAATCCCAGCCCCACCGGCTGTAAAATCCCAGCCCCACCGGCTGTAATGCGTTCCCTGCCCGCTAGGCAGTCAAGCTAACTTAAAATCCCAGCCCCACCGGCTGTAAAATCCCAGCCCCACCGGCTGTAATGCGTTCCCTGCCCGCTAGGCAGTCAAGCTAACATAAAATCCCAGCCCCACCGGCTGTAATGCGTTCCCTGCCCGCCAGGCAGTCAAGCTAACATAAAATCCCAGCCCCACCGGCTGTAATGCGTTCCCTGCCCGCTAGGCAGTCAAGCTAACTTAAAATCCCAGCCCCACCGGCTGTAATGCGTTCCCTGCCCGCTAGGCAGTCAAGCTAACTTATCAGAGATATGAGAAACACACACACACACATACAAATGAATACAGGAGGCAGATAGACAATCGACAGGTTCACCTTAAAAAGGCACACCGGATGAGTTAATTACCTGTCTCTAGTAGCCTTCTGGAAGCCGGTAGTGGACTCGGAGACAGACCGACACAAAACAGGAGAATAACACAGGCAACGGCTGTATTATGGAGGTGATCAGGCTCCGCTTGTCCCACTTTCCGGAGGTCCGCTCCGGTCCGTTGGTTCCGGCCCTCCGAACCGGCCCTCCGGTGGCCACACGTTGGGCGCCAATTGAAATGGAAAAATCAATTAAAAGTATTGATTATTTCTTTGTGTATCTGCCCCTGGCCAAATCAATGAAACAGTGCGTGCACGCTCCCTGAAGTAATTCACACCAGACACAGGTTCCAGGTTGTTGAATAACTTGAGGAATGTTTATTCAGAGGGGACGGCAGGTCCCTTTTAAAGCAAAGTTACATCATGAGCATTGTCAGAGATAACATGGAATACTACATCAATAATTGGTTAGGTGTTAAGTGGTTGCTCTAATGCTCTGCCTACTATAGGTGATGTCACCGGGGCCATGAGGGTCTCCCACGGTTTCCCGGCGCCATCTTGTTGCACGAGGTAGTTAGTTGGTGTTATGAAGGGAGGGAGGGGGAAGAGGGTGGAAGGGCTAGAAGCTTCTAGCAGCCATTTTGATTAAACATGTGTGCTTAACTCTATAGCATAGTGTGAAATGAGTAAATAGACATTTTCCTTTAACTAGGAAATATGTGTGGACCTTATTTCCACAACACTGACCCTATAGTAATCCTTTAAGATTGGTTTGAAAATGGTACAGTATAGTCCCAAAATAGTATTTGTGATGTAGAAGGAATCTTGGTGGATATGCTATTTGCAAGAATAGTCTAATATCCTCACAGATTCATATAGGTTTCGTGAAATGTCAAGACAATAAACATATAGGGAGAACCAATAGTGTGATATTGTATAACCAAAGGTGAAATGATAAAATAAATAAATAAAAAGCATCGTCACTTGAAAAAGCTTGTTGGTGAAACGCATTGTGATTTTATACAAGAGTTTTTATCTGATTTTATTTATTTATTTGTTTGGTAAATTGCAATAAAAAGTGAAAGTGTACATACCGAAAAGTGCCTCCAATTGCACAATTGGAGGCACTTTTCTGTATGCACACTTTTACTTTGTTATAATAAATATCATTTATTTTAAAAGTCAGAAGTTGGTGCTCTCTATCTACTTCCATTAAGACGACCTGGTATTCCTGAAATGGGACCTTCACTGTCTGATTAAAATGTGAGTTGAACACCTAAAGAATACATTTATTGAAAAATCTGGGACATTACTGTAGCAGAATGGGCTTCGCCACAGTACCTTCATGTTGCTAAGGGCTGTCCACCCACCCTTTTGTTACTTTATTTCAGTTACCTTTCCTGTTGGTTACTTGTAGAAACAAGTAACAATACAATATTGGCTCTCATTCCTCTGGTTGTTCAGTAGGAATCCTGTTTCAGCTATTTTTCACCACATGGTTCGACAAACAAACCAACTTCCGAACAACCGGGCCACCCAGGAGAGGAGCGTGGCATCAATTGACCTCTCTAACTTGCTCCACACTATTTTAATTGCCAACCGCACAAACTAACTGGGTGTTCCCTGGGTGGCCGCCGTTCGTCATAGGAACACGTGGTGGCGGCCGTCTTAGCATACGATTTACACCAGCAGTGTTTGGTCGTCGAGTGTCTGGAACCCAAATCGGACACACGGCAGCACGAACACCGCAGAGACTTCCAGCCTCGCATAAGTTTGTGTGAACTCAAGGGAACAGAGCGGCGTTCGGTAAAAAGAACCATACAAACCAGAGGAATTAAACGAACAAAGACACAAACCATTCTGTTGTATATTTTCATGAATTTCAACCTCCCGAACGGAGACTGACCGCACACCCAAAACTCATGGAACTTTTCTCGGCTTACACCTCATGTGAAGTCGGTAAAACTAAGACCTCCATAAAACTCTCGAACCCCTGAACCGACTTGGGTGATTTTTCAGTATGTTGCTCCCCCAGGTCAGGGCTATCAGGGGATGTTGGAATTATGAATGTAGAATATGTTTTGGGGGTGTTTCCAGAAAAGTATGATTTTTCCGTTTTGGCAGAGGGGAGGGATTGTGTGTAATGTATGGGAGTGTCTTATGACCTGATTCTGTGGTTATTAGTTGATGTATATTTTTATTGGTGCCCCACAAGGTCCACCTGGGTGGTAACCTTTGGGGCAAAACCTGCATAAAAGGCCAGCTTGGCCATTAAAGGTGGCGTTCTGCGCCTAATACTGAGTGTCGTTCAGTTATTGGGAAGGGTGATGGGATACTCGTGTATCATCTTGTACTTATGCCTGCTGTCTTGATGTTTCCTGTTTGTTCCTGAGTAGCTGTTGGAGTAACCAACGGAGAAGAAGCCCTGCTACCACTGCTCTCCGCTACAATTACTATACTACTCTATGAGAGTGTTTTGTCTATTTATCTTTCCAGAAAGAAGCAGTGTTATTGTAATCATTTTTAGGTATATTTATACTCACTTTTATACACATTGGGTCGAGTGAACCCTGGGAGCTAGATTATTATATATTGCTCTTATATACTTTGCACTGAGCACTATATTTTTTATTGTTTAACTATGTGATAATAAAGGGTTTCATATGATCACTATCCTTCAATAAAATACATTTTTGTTTGCATGATCAGTCAGATTTTCAAAATCAATGCCAATATTTCACAATTTCTGCCATAGTATGCAATCTTATGAGCACAACTGTATACTGTTATACTATTGTGCTGTGAGCAAAAGAGCCTGGGGTTGGGGCTAAGAATCCACATCAAACTGATCATATATCAAAATTGAAGTATCACTTTAACAAAAGATCATCCACAGGGATCAAATGGCTTTGGAATGTCATACAAATTTTTTATAGTCGCAGAGTAAAACTCCTTGAGGCCAGACACTTTATGTCCATAAAATAGTACAACAAACAAATAATAATAAAGTGAACAAACAATGAAAATAGAAAAAAATGAAAAAAGGGTGAGCTCTCACCGAATTATGAATTGTAATGTCCAAGCTTGTAGGTAGGGCTGTCCCAAGATCGTGCAAAAGTCCTGTAGTGGTCCACATGTGTTGGAGCTTAGACATCAAAGGCAGCTTTTAAAGCCATCCAGGTAAATATCTTCATTGTTGGAGGCAGGGCCGGACTGCGGATACAAAGTAGCCCTGGAAAAAATCTATGCCAGCCCCATAAGTCACTGCGCCATGTATTGTCACATGTAATACGTACAGCTATGTGTTACCACCCTAGATGATTGAGTAATATATATATGTTAAAAGGCCATTAGGCCTGAATTTGTGGGAGTTATGGCCCCTACTTAAACCCCTAGCCCCTACTCACCTTTGCCGCGGAAGTTGATTGACTCACCTTGGCAACCAGCACTTCCGGTCCGAGTTCCCGCCAGGAAAAGCTACTAACGATAGTAGGAGTTTTGTCACTGCTGTATCCTCTGCCTCCAACTTCTGGTCCTGCCACCCGGCTTCTCCCCGGTTACGCTACTCGGCTTCCGGTCACAAGACCGGCGCATACACATAAGCATAAACGTGGGAAATAGCGTTCGGCTATTTCCCACGTTCGGGCCTAAAAACGTAGGGGTAGGCTCCCTTTCACTATTAACTATGCAATTCGTATACTTACCCATTCGTATACTTAACCGTTTGTTTACTTAACCGTTCATTTATTTACCCATTCGTATACTTACCCATTCGTGCACTTACCCGTATGTGCACTCCTGTGGTTCCTACGGCTACACAGTCGACAGGCACACTTACGTTCACTTAAGTCATGCGCGCAATTAAACTACCGACTGCTGTAAACGTGTTTGCAATTATTAGTCTCACGATTATACTGTTCGTTCATACGAACGAACACCTCACTATATTTTATACTTACGTTCGTAAAAATTTTCTAAGTGCAGCTAAGCAGCCGAACGCAGTCTCTATGTATTCTTGCAGTTTTTCATGTATAATAATAAATATTTAGCCGAACGCCAGCCTTTATGTACTAATGTCTTGTTGCTTTGTGCCTATGTTGCCGTTCGTTCATTCGAACGTTCAAAGCACTAAATTATGTATATTTATCCCCTGGATTCTGATAATCTTAAAGTAACACAAATTAGGTTGCTTTATTGTTTACTTGTACTTTCGTCTGACTGTACAAAACCCCCCCCCCAAAAAACTAAAAACCTCTCATCTAAATTGGAAAATTGTCTGCTACAAGGTCATACATTTTCACTTACTACCAATGCAACTTTTACATTTATGATTAAATGATTTGTTACAGTACAGCATCAGGTATAGTATTACAAATTACAGCTGTCTTGCCCCGAGGCCTCATTTAGCCTCCACGGGTAAAATCCCCAACACAAGCGGGTTGGCAAACTAAGGCATGGGACTCCTTGTAACCTTTCACTACGTTCTCACCCGTATTAAAACTCCAAACCAATATCACTGCTTCTTGTTAAATAATGACTGTACATAATTTGTTTCTACACTTACCACCTAGACCTGCATTATACCGCAGTCCCTGCAAGCTTCCTCTTCTTCTACTACCAGCTGCTAACATGGTGTCTGGTGTTTCAATTACCAGGTATTGTTAAAGCGTACTCACTACGATTACGGTTCTCCCCAAGGCCTCACTCAGCCTCCCTCTGTTACATTCCCATATTTGGTTATCAAGGGCTTGTCTCTGTTAAAATGGACCAACATTCAGGTCCCTCATCTTACACGGGTTCTTACGTTACAGTATCACTGATACAGCATCACTGATACACACCTATCCATACGTTTCATTTTGTCATATCAAGATATATCAGTGGCACGCCTTGGGCCCACCTACATCTTTCTTACCCCTAGGATAACCCTTGCTGGACCAGCATTTCGTCAAAGATTTTTTCGTTCTAAGACCACTCTATCACGCACAAAGTGATAAATGTTGTATTTAAGGTTGGTCTCCACATGTGGTCGTACACCTTTTAAGAGACAAGCCCCAGCAGGTGTAGAGAACTGGCATTCAGGGTTAGGTGTTGGCCTTAGCTGACCCAAAGTAGTTTACCGGTCCCGGTAGGCCAAGTCCCCACCTCAACACAGAGGTTCAGCACCACAGCCAAAATCATAGTTAGCTGCCACACTTGCCTTTCTTTAGGGCTACAGTTAGGGCCTCCCATGTCACGGCCACACGTTTTTGAATTTCTTATGGTCATCGAGAGGCCTACATCCCGCCACCACGTCAGTGGCCATGACTTCCCTCGGCCAAAATCATAGGCAGAGCCTCTCACCGCCGCTTGGCATTAGCAGGGCCTCACCTGTCACTTGGTCATAGTTAAGTTCTTCACCTCGGCATTAGTCAGCAATCCAGTTCTACGAAGGCCTTGTTGCCCCTCCACACTCCCCTATCTAATTTGCATCATTATTCCTTTTTCAGAATGTCACCGGAATCTATTCCCATTGAAGAATTGCCTTCTGATGAAGTACTCACCACGCCTGCCAGGCGCGGGTCGCCAGAAGAATGCCTTACCCCCTCTGCCACTATGTCCCTCAGATCTTGGACAATCCCAAAAATTGCGGCTGAACTCAGACTCAGGGGCATCCCCTTTCTAGCAACTGCTAGGAAAGTGGAGCTTTACAGGCTTTTGACGGCTCAGGCCGGCGAACCCAGACCTGGCACTAGCTCCCAAGGGCTGCCTTCTGGTGCCTCTAATTCCAAGCAAGAAACCCTGGCTGCTATTTTGGCCAACCTTCAAACAATGGTCGAAGGTGGAATCTGCTATAGCTACTACAGGTGACATATCAGGCTATGAAGTTCCCCCCTTGGTGACCCCTATTTTACTGACTTGCCCCCCACCTCCCTTCACCTCCTCCACCAACCACAACCACCACCCTATATGTTTCACCTGCTCACTCCGTCCCAGCTTCCATTAAAAAAGATATTCTGGATGGTAAGGACGTGAACTTAGTTTCCCTTCTCATAGCTTCACAAGATGTCCTTGAAAACCGGGCTTACAACTACGGTGACATCTCAGTGGTGCTTAAATCCAGAGATCCACGCCTGAACAAAAAACTATCCATTCCACAGTTCGTCATAGCTTTTGGTATTTACAGGGATGTAATTTGCAGCTCCTTCTGTCACTACCAGATTACCTATAGATGGTCCCATTTTCAGATTAATTAGCGACCTACTAGACATATTTGATTATCATACTAATCCTGTTTTAAAGGCAGCTTTTTTATTGCTTTCTTCGGCTTCCTCAGACCTAGGGAGTTCATAGTCATAAGACAGGCGATACGATTTCAAGCCTTAAGCTGTTTCATCTTAGAAAGGTCGACGACCATTATGAAATTTCCTTACCTTCCACTAAGACTAACCATACCAATTACCCTACTATCATTCCTCTCTTTCCTCCCGAGAATGCCTGGTGTCCAGTTAGCCCCTACTCACCTTTGCCGTGCAAGTTTATTGACCCCACCCATCTACATATTACATTTCACCTTGGTGAGCCCTCTTTTATTACAGGCCTACTCGTACGTTGGTTTCGGCACACCTCAACCAACTTTTGCTTTCTCTACAATCTATAACCTATTAAAAATTCCAAGAACAAATATATATATATATATATATATATAATTGAGTAATATATAAACACATAAATAAATATATATATATATATATATATATATATATATATATAAATACACTGCTCAAAAAAATAAAGGGAACACTTAAACAACACAATGTCACTCCAAGTCAATCACACTTCTGTGAAATCAAACTGTCCACTGCCTTACCCATTCAACAATATTGGAATCCAAACTTAAAGATTGCAGTTTATTGATAAGCCTTCTATGTGCAACAGTGTCAAAAGCCTTACTGAAATCTAGGTAAGCAATGTCTACTTCACCACCCTGATCTATAATTTTAGTTACCCAATCAAAAAAATCAATAAGATTAGTTTGGCATGATGTCCCTGAAGTAAACCCATGTTGTCTCTGATCTTGAAATCCATGTGTTTTTAGATGTTCAACAATCCTATCCTTTAACATGGTTTCCATCACTTTCCCCACTACTGAAGTAAGGTTTACTGGCCTATAG